CTTTCATGACTAGTAAAACTTAATGTAATGAGTAATAATGTCTCTATTATAGTGATTCCACTTAATTAAATATTAATGTTTTCATATGTACATATGTAATAATGTCTCTATATTATGTACATATAAAATAGACATTAATTACATATGTTATGGGGGTAGTATATGTAATAATGTCTCTAAATATTTATTATGCTATGGTCAGGTTGTCTCTGAATAGTAGCAGGCTGACATATTCCATTCTTGCTGGTGTGTGATGCTGTACCCAAAAGAGTTGATTCTATTCGTTATGGTTTATTCATTACAATTTCTCAACCACATCTTGATCACTCTTGTACATGGCATGTTTAAGCTGACTAAGTTACTAGAAATGATCATCATTGGTTCTTCCTTCATTTTCCGCAAAACCTGTGCCAATCCAGTGAGATAACTCTCACTGTCTTTTCCTCTTCTCATCCAAAAATTTGCTGTCAGTCGGCTATTATTTCAACAGAAGGTGAATTGATAGAAAATTAGATTTAATAAACCCCACTCACTCTAATAAGTAAGGGCAACGGGTTTGTATGGCAAAATCTCTGGGGGGAGGAATCCTAGGAGGAAATCCTCCCCTCTAAGTATTGCAAAGGCAGGGGTCAATCTGCCTGTGAGCCTGGTGAGGCTCCAGAAGATCTTTTATGTATATAAATCATAAATGATCAAGAAATGTATTGAAACTGTGATCACACCAAAAGTGGAGGAAATGTCATCATTTCTCTCTCTTGGAAATCAATACAGAGAGAGATAAATAAGTTAATCCTGATTGCTAATCATCTCTCTCATGACAGAAAATACTTGGAGAAAGAGATGGAAAAACTTTATGTACATATTTTAGCATCTCTTGAATAAAGGAATATTAATACAGAAGAAAATACTAAGTTATTCTATGGAATTACTTAGAGAAAAAAGCATAAAATAAATGAATAAAAATACAACAGAGCTTAAGGGGGACTTGAACACAGGTGTGTTGGTGAGATATTGTTGTAAGACAATTCATAACCACTGCACTAGATTACACAGCTGGCGATTGGATGTTGCATACAGTCTGCTGCAACACCCGCAGTAAGGGGGGGCCCTTGACGCAGGTGTTGCAGCAGACAGCATGCAACATCCCAGTGACAGCTGTGTTACTTGCAATGGTGGCCAGTTACACTAACTGTAGTGTTAGTGGAGCGGAATTCCGCTAAACTTTAGCATAGCGTAGCAGAATTCTGCCACATCTTGCACTCACACTACGCGCATAGGCCCCAAAAAAGGGCCCACTACGCTACGCTAAAATGCTGGTTAGCTGTTTTTTGGCCCTGTAACGCAGAGTAGCATAGCAAAAATGCGCTAAAAATCTGCTAACACTACATTTTTTGGCGTAAAAAAAGCGCCGCTATGCTACGCTTTTTGGGCCAAAAAGTGTAGTGTAGTGTAGCAACACTGGGTCTATACTTTACGGTTATTGGTATAGTACTGTTATAGTATATATATTTCCAACTTTACTTAGACTATAAAGGGTGTGGTTATAGTCTGATTTTCAGGGCCCTTTACTATAACTGAGGAGAACAGGAAATTATTTTGGGTGATTTACTCTACTATAAACTGCCCTGGATGCTGCTAAAAACATCTACAGCTACTTGTGAGAGTCTCTTGACCACAGAAGGGCTCTCTGGAGTTCATATATACACTTCATGGTTGATAAAGACAAGGCCCTTACAATACATTTGAATTTTGGAGCCACAAAAAGTGGCCTATACTATACCAAGCTTGGTGGGAAACACACTGGTTATAGTATTGGTATAGTAAATAGAAATTTGAGGAAACTTTACTATACTAGTTATAGTAAAGTATAGTATAGACCCAGTGCTGAGCGTAGCGGCCCACTGCTGTTACTTGCACTCATATATTACATTGTAGAGACATGGGCTATTGCCTCAGTGTCTGACACAAGGAGTAGCTCTGGATGCCACGGTGTGGAACTCCAACGGTGCTGGCCTGTGGAAGTTGGTTGAGGGGAAGGTGCTGAGGAGCTGCCCTCTTGTAGGGTCTGGATACTTGAGTGGTGTGATCAAAACAAGAAGCAATGAGGTTGGATTCGGTGAGAAGACAGCAGAATTGAGTTCTGCAGGCGGTTAAGTGGTTTGAGTTTGAGATCTGATGAAAAATCTGGGGAAGATTGAGATGAGAATAGTTCAGAAGGTGAGAGATCAAGATCAATAAGGTTTCAATATCAAAAATGATGGGTCTATCTTGGATCAGATCAGAATGTCCTACTTCCCCATCATCTCAGTTCAAACTGAACTTTGACTCTGGGGAGTGACATGTCACAGACATGTCATCACATCCCTAACTACAACACAACTCCACCAGAAAGCAAAGACAACACAACACAACAAACCAGAAAGCAAAGACAACACAACACAACAAAATGAAAGAAACAACACACAACAACCAACAAAAAAGTAACAGGTGAAGGAAGAATAAACAAAACAAAACTAAGAATAAACCAACATAAATGAAACTATGTCTTAGGACCAAGAAATAAGAAACAACACTGTCTTCTGAGTAAGTGATTTGAAAAAGATAAGTAAGAATAATAAAATGATAAAAAATAAAATCAAGATGAATAAAAAATAACATGAAGAGTAAATAATAAGGGGAAATGAAATAAAATAATAAAATGAGGAAACCATTGGACTGAGTGGGGATTTGAGGTGATAATGTTGAAATCTTGAGTCTTGAGGATATTGCAAATTTGAAAATTGAATTTGGAAATTGGACCTTGAGGGGGCCTGTACCGTTTAGAACACCACAACGGAAGCCTGGTGACCATTCCCCAGGATAACTGTTGGTGCTTGGGCTCCTGGCAAGCTGGCCTGGATCCCAATACCTGCTGTGTACCCTTTGGGTATACCCTGAGACCTTGGGAATGAGATCCAGCGCTATCAAGGAGTTACAGTCAACTCTGAGATAACCCATACTTCTATTAACCCATAGGAAAATCTGTCTCCCAAGTTGGTGGGCAGGGAAAAATGGGTCTTAACCCATAACTCTGCATTCTGCAGTAACCCATACCCTTTTTGAGAAAAAAACCGGAAAATTATGGGTTTTTTTCACCTTCAATTTCAAATTTTTCTGAATATGTACATAAAATTAAATGCATGCTTCTCAGTCTCAGCTTTCTTCTCATCTTAAGCCAAACTGATTCCGAGTCTCAGAACAAATCTCTTGTGCTTTGTATCAACCAAAAACATACAATCATCATCATCCAATGGAAGGTCACAATCCCATCCCCAACTACATCTTCCGCAATGCAAATATTATTTCCTTTAGAACCATAAACTCCACTGTAGACTACACTAACAGTGAAACATTCACCCATCTTCACTCATTCGACGAGTTCCTCCTTCATCAACTGGAAGAAAGTTTTTTGAAATTGAAAAAAGAAACGAGCTCAAAACTTAAGAACCTTCGCCTGAAGCAAAAAAATGGACAACTCGATGAATCAGAAGAAGAATGGATGGACAATGAAGGAAACTTAGTTGAGGAACAACTGTTCATGGATCGATTAACCAACTTGAAACCAAATGGCGACTCACTTAAGATCCAACCTAATGATTTAAAAATAATCGAACGCATTCAAAAGTTCAACGGTCCGAGCACTCCAGCCAACAAGAAGAAGAAGAAGAACCAACCGTCTCCTCAGAATAAACCATGCAAAAGACCTTCTGAAAAACACAACACCTCGGTCAAATCTAAGATGAATGTGAAGTCTAAATCATCCCAAAAACCTGGTCGCGCTACGTTGGCACAAAAGGTTGAAATTCTTGACTGGCACAAAAATAACGGCTCAAATCAAACCAAGACGGCATCTCACTTCAATAAAATCTATCCAGATATCGCATTGAAGCAACCCCTTATTTCTGCTTGGGTCAAGGCCGAAGACGGAATCCAAGAACAAGCAAAGATATCATCGTCGGATTCAAAACGTGTACGCTCCACACGTTTCCCAGAAATAGAAAAAATGCTTGATGTTTGGGTCACCCAAGCTCTCCACTCAAAAATGATGATTACCGGTGATGTTATCCGGGCAAAGTGGCAGGAGTTTGCCAGCAAAGAAGGGATTCCTTCTTCCCAGTGGTTATCCTTAAGCGATGGTTGGCTGACTTCGTTCAAGTCACGTCACCGCTTGAAGTCTTTCAAAAAACATGGAGAAGCTGCACAGGCAGAAGAACTAGACATTTCGACTGAACGCGAGCGGTTGCAAAAACTAGTCACAGAGTACGATCGGAAGGATATTTGGAATATGGATGAAACAGGCCTTATGTATGGGTAAGGGGTTGGTTCTTCTGCAATTTTTTAAGTTGGCTTGGTTCTAATCCTCAAACATTTGTTTCAGAATGCCTCCAGATCGAGGCTTAGCTAAGGAACATGGATTGGGACTGAAAGGAAACAAGACCCGAATCACCATTGCTGTTACAGCCAATGCTGATGGGTCAGAGAAACTTCCCCTCCTCATCATTGGCAAGTACGCAAAACCCCGTGCCTTTCAAAAGAAAACAGGAGCACAGCTTGGATTCGAATACTACAGCAACCAGCGTGCATGGATGACAAGTGTCATCTTTGAAGACTGGATCAAAAAATTTGACCAGAAGATGAAAAACAAAAAACGAAAAATTATGCTATTCGTCGATAACTTCGCTGCTCATACTCTCCCAGAAGGTGGCCTTTCAAATATCCGACTTGAGTTCTTTTCACCCAACCTGACTGCGCATGTTCAACCAATGGATGCCGGCATAATTTCGGCGTTCAAGTCGCACTACAAGCAACGATTCATATCACGATCAATTCAACGATACAACAATGGAATACCAGTAACTAAAGTTTATGCTATAGATCAGTTGACTGCAATGCACATAAGTCGCGTGGCATGAGACAATGTAACCCCAAGAACAATCGCCAATTGCTGGAATCACACCAAGATGTTTCCTGGAAACCTGTCCAACGATTCAAAAAGAACGGTTGTGGATGTCAATGAAGTGCATGCTGGCCTAGAGGATCAGATCGGCCGTCTCCAATCTTTTGGGCTTGTTCATCCAACCAATCAAATGACCATCAAAGAGTTACTTGACCCCCCTCAGGACAATTCTTTTGCGATGTGGACCACTGAAGAGATATTTGAAAGTCAGAAAAACAACTCGGTCGATTCCGAAAGCGATGATGAGGATCCTGAACCAAGAGTTAAACCAACAGCAAAATCGGTTTTTTCTGCAATTGCTCTGATCAACAACTACATTCAAGATGAAGATTCAATGGTTGCCAATCACCTCAACCACGCGTTGCACAACTACTCAAAAGGTTTGTCCGATCGACTTATCACAAATGCTCGCCAGTCAAGCATACACGACTTCTTCAAACACGGGACCTCTTCTGAAGACCGAGACCACCTGTGATTTTTTTTCTTTTCTACCTCAGAGTCTGTTCCTGTCTCAGAATAATCACATAAATAAATAAATTGTAGATAGATCAAGCAAATAACCTGATGCATATGGGCTACACAAGTACAGCCATATCAAAATCAAAGAAAACATAAGAACAATATCTGTGTTAACCCATAAAATCATGGGTTAATACAGCTTTATGCCTTAACCCATGAATCATGGGCTAATACAGATCTCACCCCTAAGCCATGATTCTATTACCCCATACCAAAACCTTTCTCCCAAGGGGTATGGGTTATCTCAGAGTCGACTGTATTGGCATCTGATTTTTTTGTCAGCCAATTTTGTCAATGTCTGAGCTTCCTACCTCTATGCTCAAACCCCCTGCACTTCCCCAACTTAATATTCCTATTCTTTTTACAAATGCCACTATCAACCAAAACACTTTTGGAGTTTGGACCTATGATGTCGTTGGTCCAAACTTACTCTCAAACTCACTTGCCTATTGAATACATAAGCTCAGGGCTTCTCTAATATATTTTCTTCCACCAGGGGAGCTTTGGGGGCACTCCCCAGGGAGTGCCTTATCTGTAACTTTTCATGTGACTGTGTCTAATGTATAGTATTTCATTAACATAACCAAGTGTGAATGGTTTTTGAAATCAGGTAGAAATCATCCAAAACCCAGCTGGTACTCATCTGAAACTCAATTGCAACTAAAATGGGCACATAATACAAATTGGCTACAAAGTTTTGTCATCAAAGTGGAAAGCATTGCTCAAACACTTTTCATACCAGGGGGTTACTTCCAGCTGAATGGGGCCAGAAATGTTCCACCTTCATTTTATGGTTGGACATACTCCTCTTGTGATTGGTGTGTGATATGTCACCGCATTGAGCTTGATTGCAATGCGGCAACATGTCATGCACGTTTCACACCAAAGGGGCACGTCCATCTGAAAGGTGTCTGAACTGTGACACCCTCATGAATCTGGTGGACATTCCCCTCTGGTCTCAACAGTGTGTGATATGTCATCCTATTGTACGCGAGTACAATAGGGTGACAAATCATAGGCTGTTCTGAACAGGAGGGGCATGTCCCCTGGGTACACTCAGATGGACATGGCCCTCTGATGTGAAAAGTGTGTGATATGTCACCGCCTTGCGCTCGAGCGCATTGCGGTGACATGTCACGCACGTTTCACACCAAAGGGGCACGTCCATCTGAAAGGTGTCTGAACTGTGACACCCTCATGAATCTGGTGGACATTCCCCTCTGGTCTCAACAGTGTGTGATATGTCACCCTATTGTACGCGAGTACAATAGGGTGACAAATCATAGGCTGTTCTGAAGAGGGGCATGTCCCCTGGGTACACTCAGATGGACATGGCCCTCTGATGTGAAAAGTGTGTGATATGTCACCGCCTTGCGCTCGAGCACATTGCGGTGACATGTCACACACGTTTCACACAAAAGGGGCAAGTCCATTTGAAAGGTGTCTGAACTGTGACACCCTCATGAATCTGGTGGACATTCCCCTCTGGTCTCAACAGTGTGTGATGTCACCCTATTGTACGCGAGTACAATAGGGTGACAAATCATATACTGTTCTGAACAGGAGGGGCATGTCCCCTGGGTACACTCAGCTGGACATGGCCCTCTGATGTGAAAATTGTGTGATATGTCACCGCATTGCGGTGACATATCACACATGTTTTACACCAAAGGGGCATGTCCATCTGAAAGGTGTCTGAACCGTGACACCCTCATGCAACTGGTGGACATTCCCCTCTGGTCTGAACAGTGTGTGATATGTCACCGCATTGCGCTTGAGAGCAAGGCGGTGACATGTCACACACTTTTCACACACAGTTCGGACCAGAGGGCAATGTCCTGCTGAGTGAGGCCCAAACGGTGTAACCCTCATGTACACAGGGTACATGCCCCTGTTCTGAACAGCATGTGACTTGTTGCCCTATTTTAATCATGTACAATATGGTGAAAAATCACACACCTGTCACATGACCTTCAGACCAGAGGGGCATTTCCAGCAGAATGGTTTCTGAATGGTGTCAGTCTCATGAACCCAGTGAACATTGCCCTCTGGTCTGAACAGTGTTTGATAGGTGTGTGATATGTCACCGGATTGCGCTCGAGTGACATATGACACACTGTTCAGACCAGAGGGTTTTTCCAGCTGAATGGTGTCTGAACTGTGTCACCCTCATGTAAGGTACTTTAATTGGAAATTTAGAAACAAAATCATGACTGAGTTTGACTAGAATTCAGCATGGCTTCAACAAACGTGAATGATAGTTGGCAGTGAATAGTTGCATTTTATTTAACAGATATATTGTGTTATATAATGAAATAGTTCAACAAAAACATGGTAATGACTTCAAATGAACTTCAGGCAAAAAGTAACAAAGAATTAAGCTATGGCACTCCCTGGGAAGTGCCCCCAAAGCTCCCCTGGTGTTCTATTGTGGAAATCAGGTTGAATCTTCACAGCCTTATCTCTTTGATCCTATTGATTACATTTATCTTCATACTAAATCAAATCTTCTAGTTCCTCTGCCTGACCTAGCTTACAGTCAACAATCTCTTTTTCATCTTTCTAGAAGAATTTATCAAATACCTCCAGCAATTCTCTTCCTCTTGACTACTCTGCCGACAAGACTTGTACTTCCCCTTCCTTTCACCTCTTGTTGATCATCAAGAGAACTTTCTACTTGTATTGGAAGGTTCACTCCACATTGTCTCCATTCTCATTGAATGGAAGCAGCTGTTAACCCTACCATCTTGTAGTGCCATGGTCCTGTAGCCTGCTTTTTCTATTTACTACTTGTTCTTTCTATCCTGTGTTTCTCTTTTTCTCCTGTTTGCCACTATGTCAGAACTCACTTCTCTCATTTTTCTTTTGTCATGTATTTCTTTCTTCGCCTTTTTGCTTATCAGAAACACACTCTTTAGTTTGATCATTCAAAAATTTGGTTTCTGTGTTTAGTCCCTCTGCTGGAGGGGCAAGTTACCTCCACTGCTTCAGGAATTAGTGAAGTTTGCATGAAGATGAAGGATTGACTGAACAGAAACCATTTGGAATTTTTGTGTTGAAATTCTTTCTTCTAACTCATTGCTCAAAAACCAACTTACCTGTTCATTGACATTGCTGTAATTTTTGTCAATTCTTCCTTTAGCATTTCCTTAGTAGAAATTTGGCCTCTTTTTAACACATTTTCAAGAGCCTTGTGTAATATTCAATTAATATTCATTTATCTCTCAAATGAATTGTTGATTAATAGGGGGTATCAAATATAACCAAATCCACCATTATTTGATTCACTGGTTTGAAAAAATCCATCCTTTTTTAAACATTTGGGTTATTCATTTAGCCTATTTCAGGGCCCATTGATGCAAAAAATTGTGATAAGTGACTGGTTTCTAATGGTTTATTTTGTATATTTGATACCCCCTAATAGCATTGTTTTTATTCAACATCATAATTTTTGTTCATTTCTCTTTGAGCCACAAGTCAGCCTCCTTCTACATACCTAGTATATGTATAATTATCAGCACCAGTCACTTATGTGACCTGGGTCTGATGGGGTGTTAGGATTTCATGTACAGCCCCTTGAAAGAAAAAGTGGAACCTTTTAATTGCAGTCTAGAGGTAAAACCAATGGACTTCAATTTATGTTTCTTGGTGAAAATGTGGAAAATAAGGAGTTTAACTCCCAAATTTTGGGGAATCCTAGGCTTGGGATTCAGCTCTCCAATTTATGGGAGTTGTTTAACCAAGCCCCTATCAAATTTGGAATTTCTCATAGGGAACCACAAAAAAGCTATCATTGTACAAAGAAAGGAAAATCTTTATGTGCTTGCCACCAGGGGAAGAGCTGACACACTAACAAAAATCCTCATATCAAATGAGTCTCTGTTTCAAATATCCAACCTGTGAATTTTAATGTTTTTACAAAAATTCACATGTTGTGGGTGGCTAGATTGTACAGTGGGTTACTTAAAATTATGGCCACATTGTTTTTCCCTTCCAAGTTTCAACCTAAAATCTTCAAGTAATGAGGCTTGGTGAAGTGGTGCAAAAAAGGTTCCAAATAATGATTCCAAAAATAAAAATGTGAAAAAATGATTTCCAAAATTTGGGAAAAAACATCACTGTGTTTGTTGCACCATTGTTGGTATCAAATTAATGTGTAATTCCAATATATGGCTATTTATTGCATCACATTGCATTGTTTCAACGTTAGCTGTACAAATCTCTCTGAAAACACAAATTGCCTCACTTGGGGGAAAATGGTGCTTGGGCTGGGGGGGCATTACAAAGACCTCATGGTTGTAATCTACAGACCATGTAGATTCCAAATTCAAAGCTAAAAGCTGTTTTTCCTGGTTTAAATACAAGGTCTAACACATAGCCATAGTACAAGAATACAGAACTACATATAAGAATTATAGAATTCATTGGTTGAGATCAACCCATTTTAAATTGGCTGATTTAAACAATGTTACTGGAAGTGTCGCTGGTGCTAGGCTATCATAATTAGTTGAATCAAGATGGTTAGATTGTTTTCAAAGAGTCTGAGAATTGAATAGAACAGAATAGAAAAAAAGTTACAAGGTGTTATGAGCTGCGGAGGACTGGAACTGGGGATGTTAAATATGTAGAGAGCCTGTTACGTTGTGGAACTCCTATTGTGCCAGGTGGTAGGCAGTTGGTTGAAGGGAAAGTGCTTTGAGGGCTGCCTTCAAGTGGGGTCTGGATGAGTGAGCTGTGATCTGAACAAAAAGCGTTGGGGTTGGCTGGTTTTCCGAGAGGAGACAACAGAAGTGGAGTTCTGTGGCAGTTGTTGAGTCTGAGTGATCTTGAGGATGTTTATGAGGATCAGAAGTATGAATAATAAGAAGATCAATAAGATTTGATGGGTCTATCTTGGATCAGATCAGAGTGCCATGCTTCCCCATCATCTCAGTTCAAACTGAACTTTGACTCTGG